TCGAAAACAAACATGAAATTCTAAAAAAAATCCAAAACTCATTTTTAATATTAAGAAATTAAAAGTAATTCTGAAAAAAATACTTACAAAACAAATATTAATATTCAGAATTGAGTTTCGGTGAATTACAATGTAATAAAATCGAATTTTCAGCTCTTTCAGGTGTTAGTCGATTTCTAGCACTCTCGTATACGTTTCCATGCAGCTGAAGAAAATAGCTGTTCGCTCGCTACACTACTGGGTGGGGGTGCTAAATATATAATTGCCTTGGTTGCCTTTGGTTTTCCACCATATTAAATATATTTTTCAAGGGAAAAACAATACTTAAAATTTTTGGCCGATATATCGGTATCGGCCGATATCGGCCATGCCCGAGGCCATGCCTATATCGGTATCGGCCTTAAAAAATCATATCGGTCGATCCCTAATAAAAACTTTTGATCGTCAAAGGGTTAATCGAGCGTTTCCACCCAGAATGAATCCTCAGATAACCTCTACCACCTTCATTCGTAATTTGTATAGGCAGATAAGTATTTGGAATATCGATTCTTGGCGAGAAACGTTTCCGCATATTTTGCGATTGTTATTTAAAAATAGATTTAATGAAAGTTGGCGTTATTAATTAAACAATTGCGCAACGATATGAAAAATCGGAATGAGTGAACGGGCAGATACCGATATGGTCACATTTCTCCTTTTATTTTTGTCCTGGCTGACGTGAATATCGAGGTGAATATAAACACGGTGCAAGGTGCAGTGCAGATTAGATTGCACGAATATGTGAGACTACTGAGAAGAATGAACTATAGATAATATGTACCAGATAATTGCACAAGGACACCTGTTTCCTTCATACAAATATTATAGAATGTACTTATACCTTGTAGGTGTAGGACAAAAAAATAACGATATGTCACTTTTCTACAACAAAATATAGATATTTTCATGGACGATGCTCTTCTGAAATATCAACAATGGGCGTGTACACCTTAGTAGAACTTTTAACTCAAACTTTTATACATAAATAATGATAGACGACATAATTCGATCGAAAAATTAACTGGAATGTTTTATTTTTGGACATAAATAAGAGTACCTTCTGAAAACGGACCCTCTTATGACGTAGAAACCTCATCTCGCCATAGTTAAAAGAGAATGCCAAACGCCCGACGGAGACTGAGGCAACTGATATATTAATTCTTTCAACTGTGATCTCGCGCTAATTCACTCTGTCAGAAATCATGTATCATTCATCTGTGTCTGGAATAGTCTTGTTTCAGTATTAGGGTTTTGACGTCACATCATCGCCTCGTTTTCAGAGGTCCGAAAAATCGGGGATTTCAATAGTTTTTTATAAAACGTAGGGAGCTCACAGCAAGAAACGGTTTGAGGTGGTGAGCTAGTTTGGGTGAGTTCTATCGAATTATGAAATAAAATTTTTCTGTGATATGAGCCCATTGTTCCGCCCTTGGCAGTCCCCGCGAGATTAACCCGTCGAGTTGAGCCTTCGCACCAGTGGCGGCTCCTCAGAGGAGACAACGGAGGCTGAGCCTCCTCAGAGATTCCCCTTAAACTGATATTATCTATACTTTCTCATTAAAAGGACACCAAAATACATGGATTTTGATTTTATTTCCTGTTTTGAGGTAAATATTTTTGAATTGGCAACAGTGCTTGCCCACGCCTCACACGTTGAAGTCTGCAAATCAGGCGTAAAATATTCAACTTGGCAACATCTATAGGAGGCTAGACTCCTTCACACGCGAAATGCAAATGCCCGAATACACCCGAATAGCACGTGTTTGCCGTGTCGCGTCGCGAATTGCGGACAATCCAGCGCGAGTGCATTGTTTATGTTTATGTTAGGTTAATGGTTAGGGGCTCTACAAATTTATGAAAAATGAGTGTTTTAAACGATTGCGATTTAGTGGAATACTTTTTGGTGAACCCATTCAGTGCTTTGTCTTATGAAGATAAATTGATTGTGAAAAACAAACGTCTGACACCGGAATTAAAAAATCTGATTGTAACAGGTAGGTAACAAACAAAATCGTTCGTTCAATTCTGATAATTATAAAAAATATATCTTGTTGACGGGATCTGAGGTAAGGAATAAGCTATTTTATTGGTACTGCGTATTATTTTTAACCGATAAGTCATCATGTTGGGGGCGATTAGGATATAATTATTTGAAAAATTTGCCTCGCGGATTGGATAGACACTGCAAATCACAGGAACACATCTCTTCAAGTATTGAGTTCAGGTTAACTGGTAAACAGAATGTCATTAAAGCTATCGATTTGGGTTAATCGTAGAGAGTTGTTTTTCACATCAGGCTCTCACCCCCCTTCAGTTTTTCTATGAAATGCGTTCAAGTTCCATCCGAAATCGGGTGAAATTGTTGAACGATATTTTTTTTTTTCGGTGTATTTTGTGCCAAGGTATGCTATTGTCCGTTTTTCACGAAAACGAAGCAAGATACGAAAAAACTACAAGAGACAGAAATATTTCGATTTGTAGTGAGCTCAGTTGTGAGTTTATATGAATAAATGAGAAGAACAAAAAAAATAAAGGTTGCCTTTTTTCTACAACAAACGCAACAAAAAGCGGCCTTGTTCGATGTACGCCACTGGGAATTTTGGATCTTATCTAATTGGTCCAGTAAATGTCTGATAATTGTGTAAATAGACCATGAACATTCCATACAGATCGAGATCCAGATATCAATAAAAACACTCATGATTTTTTGCGAGTTTTTTTGTCACTTTGACACCCTGTACCGAGCCCTGTACCTATCTCGCAAACAAAGCATTTTCAGTCCCATATTATATCACCTTTTTTTCATAGTTTGTTGATGGGGATCTCCCCTAGGCTTTTATCAGCACAACTCGAAAACACCGAGGAAAACACCCTGTACAAGCAACAAGTCAATAACCCAAATTGGTGGATATTGACATGGAAGTAATGGCATTGGTCTTGGTCTCCCTGGTTTTATTAGTGAACACAAAAATCGTCACCTACATACAGAAATGAGGTCAATATATTCATTCAATATTTATCTGGGAATTTATTTATATAACAATGTGGATATTTTTCAACTGCATTCCATCTCCTGCATAGATGAATATCATAACATTATAAAAGTAAAGAACAAGGCAAGGAACAAAGTAGCTAGGTACCTCGGTAGGTACCCATAAGTGCCAATTAGTTATCATGATGTTTTCCCTATTTATTATACATAGTTTGGATACTGAGGGTATATTTATAATTTAATAATTAGTTTTTAATATTTGCCAGCAACCATGTAAATTCATAGAGATAAGCTCAGAGATTAGTATAGATTTGTCCTGGGATGAATCTGGATTTGGATTCATCTGTCATTTTTTTAGGTACACACACACAAGGGTACAAAGGTTCCCTAAAATATCTGTACTAAATCGGGGATTTGATCAAACCCTATCAAACTTACCTCCTTGCTTACCTTTAAGGAGTTCTCAAGAAATTTGTTCAAATATTTAAATAGTGTTGAATATACCTATTCATGATAGGTACATTCCCAATAAAATAGGTATGGGTAAGTACTTGAACTTTGAAGGCAAAAAATTGTAGTACAGTAGTCACCTTGTATACCTACTGCACTTCCATGTTTTACAAATAGGAAATACCCAAGGAAATACCTATCTAGGTAGGTACACTATAAACACCTAAAACAAAACCTAAAATACCTACATACCATAGATATAATACCTACCACAGTACCTACCTAAGGTAAAAATTTAAAAATCGTAAATAGTGAAAGAGTATGTACCTACCCAGGTAGGTATTTAATTTTAAAAAATACTTCACATAAAATTAATAAGCAAATGAGTGACTGACTATTGGAAATCAATGCAACATTCTCTTGTTTTCTCTGATTGAAAAAGTACAAAGGTAATCAATTATTATCAAGACCACAATTCAGTTTCCTTTTTTGGATCAATAACCAGTGTCAAACTAACTTTTGTAGTTTATGCTGGGTTTATAGATTCATTTGACCTAACAATTAGGATTCAACAATTAACAATCAACAATTAATAATCATGAGGGTGTTTATACATATCTGATAATAATTAGGAATTAGATTTGAAATATCTTTTGATTAAATATCAAAATGTTGAAACTCGATTTTGGTCTCCACAATTCATGAATCTATAAAAAAATCCAAATAAATATCACCAATCTCCATTTAAACAATAACAAATCCAATCTTCATGTTCTGCCTCCAGAATTTCATAATTCTTAGTTGTCAAGTTGAAAGTTTGCCAACTTTTTAATTCTTAATTTAAATATTTAAATGACATATATGTGAATGTATAAACCCTCATAGATGTTTCCTTGTATACAACTTTTTAAGTTCATAATAATTGTTAAGTTTTGTGGAATCATATTTAGATCTATGGTTGAATCTATAAACCCAGCATTACTTTTCAACGTTTTTCATAACATTTTGTCTACACCTACAAAAACAGTATCCCCTGGGGTATCCCAAAGGAGAAAATTGCGGAAAATTGAGTCAATCCGTCATCTAGTCAATTAGGGAAGTCGTAGGGTAGGGGGTTTCAAGGCAAACGAAACGATACCAGACTTGAATGAACTTGTCATCAGGCCTTTGAACCTTTGGGCTTTGAAGCCAACCCCTATTTGTAGTAGTAAGCCGGCTTTTCCTTTTTATCCGCATTTATCCAAAAAATAAGCTGTTCATTGCAAAGACACTAGGTATTTACCAGAAATTGTTCAAGACACCTTCAGGTTTCAAGTTGTTATTAATCGATTTCTGTTTTGTCTGAATCGAAAGGTGATACGAATACTGAACTGGAACAACACGAACATGAACAGGTTGCAGATCGCCTTCAATGCAAATGAGATCCACTGCGAGATGTTCATTAACTTGTTGAAGATATGAATGTTGAATGATAACAATTTGGGGGTATACCTACTAACAAAAACAGAATGAATCATACCACTGTGCTCGGTAAAAATATTGGAGGTAGGATGTCGTCCATCTTTTACAGGTCTTGTTCTATTTCTTGCAGAACGGATGGAATGGGTATTGACTGATATTGTCCTTTCCTTGGTATTCTGAGCACCCATGGCTTGAAATCATACCCTTTTCGCCCGAAATATGTCACTTTGATGTCTTCGCGATTTTCACTTTCACACCGATAAGGGTGGCTTCGCACGAACAACCACCCCCACCACGTAAAACATTAACATAACACTTCGCCCGTGGAAACGATTGAACGTCTCTAGTTCGACATTATTTTGTTGATATAAATAATAGGGAATCAATTTTAATTTGCTCTTATTCGACCCCACTTGAACGTCTACGCCGCCATATTTTCAGTAGCTCTTGCATCTTTGTTGCACGCATCTGGCATTGTTTTCTTGTCTTTGTTTGACATGTGCACATTCATAATTGAGATTTCGTCGTTTTCGATTATATAGTTGGCGTCTTCGCCATCGAGGCAGCACCGTCGCGTCAGCGTAGAGATTACCCAGTGGCGTATCTTGGGGTCTTGCTGATGAAAAGAAAAAAAAGTTGACGATCTTCAACAGCAGAAACAAGGAATCGTTTTTTTGTGTCTATATAAAAACAGTGTCATTCCTTCTCGCAATAATCGGTTGTATTGTTAATGATTTTTGTTTATTTATTCCATATAGTCGAATATAACAGCAACAGGGTATCCGCTATATCCGGTAAACACTATATGGATCATACTCTAGCTGGTGATTACCAAGTTCATAACTTTTCAGAAAACCACTAAATGACCTTGGTAAAAACCTCACGGTATTCGAGATATTGCAACTTTAATATAAAAAAAATTAATTCCCATTAACAAGCTCATATACAAAGGAGCATTTCATGTTGATTGTTGATTCATATTTTCGTTAAATATTACTGAATAGTAGTTGTAACAATTACAAAAGGTAGGTTTTCAATAGCATTCATTGATCTTCATTCATGATATCTATTACGAACTTTTGTTCCAAGTATTTTTAAAGACAGTGAATGACTGCTCTCGAAAATAAGAATTAACATGAAACGCTTCTCAGCTTGGAACATGAAAATGAGAAATTATTTTTTTTTAACTTTAAGTTCGAATATCTCGAAAACCATGAACTACCTATTCACTATGGCAAGAGACATTCATTTTCAATATTTCATTCGCACTACAGTATATTTTCCAAATGTTCCACCCTTCGGCTTTGTAAACAGATAGCACATTATATTCAATGAATATATTCTGGCAAATTACTAATTTCAGGAAATTCTGTTGAAATTTTCTTAGCATCATCATAGAATATTTTCATTCTGCAACAAATATTCCATGAACTTTTAATAATTCAACATCTTCAGAATCCATTATCGTTATCATTATACATAATGATATTCAAATATGCTCTGAGGATATCCTATGCACATTATTAATGACATTATGCCTTAATGCATCTCGATGATCCTATTCATTGTCAATAATAATTATGTCGAGATGCAGAACTCATATGAATTGAAAAACAGCCGAAATAGGTGGGTAACCGTCTAAAAGATAGCAAATATATTTATTTTTTTTTCATTTCCGATACTTCAACAATGTTTTTTCATTGAAAAAACATGGAAAAAACCTATCCTATAGAAAATAACTACTTTCTCCTGGCTTATATCACAGAATATCGAGTTATACCATGTTCGATATATATGACGAACGTTATTGTTATTATCTTAGTGTCGCACACCAATGATCTCTTGTTGTCATAGAGTGAAGAGAAACTGTATGCAACACACAATACTTGAGCATGTAGTGTAGATAGAACCATTTCAATCATTTCATCTATGATAGAACCATGGTAGGACTGTGGTAGAACATCCACCTCTGTAGAATTGTAACATAAAGCGTATAGATGACGCCACACGCCACTTAATCTTGACTTAATGGTTTTTTGGTTTTACAGAGACAGTCTCATCCATTGACTCTATAGACCTTGATTTCTACCAACCTTGACTGTTATTGTTGATCGAAGGATCGAACGAATCGAACCCTGATCATTCTGTATTTTCTGTTTTCCTGTTCCATGATCGAACTTTCTTAACTTGTTGATTGAGTTGCACAGAAAAAAAAAGTAATATCTTAAAATGTGATACTAAATTACTAACAATGATTTCTGCTTCTCCAGAACAAGGTGGTGAGTAAAAGTATAAAAAACTAGGATATGAAGACTGGTTCGATTAGGGGTGTAGGTATATTGATAGCATGATAATAATGAGTAATACAAAGTGATTCTGAGAACGTTCTTAGAATATTCCCGTGGAACATTTCGAATATTCTCAGCATGTTCTCATAAGGAGCGCTCATAACGTTCTGAGAATATTATTCTATAAGAACATGCAATAAAGGGAAGAAATATTCACGTTCCATGAACGTGCGACTCATAATATTTTCATTACTACTCAACGAGCTCTATTCGAGAATGTGAACAAATTTGATATATCCAGATTTTCAAGGCCTACTTTTGTTTCTTGAAGGGGTCAAAATTTCAAAAACGACTAAGTATTAGGAAATGTTTTATCGAAACTGTGACTTGCCTATTCGATTTAGGCATAGTAGAAATAACCCCGAAATTTGAACGCAAAATCTCATATAGGGTAGTCAGTGGAAAATTCTGATATTTTGATTTTTCGATTCATCCTGTATCATAATCTAAGTAGTTGCAGGTAGTTCATAGTTCATATAACCGGTCAAGTAGTCATATTCAATGGAGGAACACATCGCCGGATACTCCGAGGGATACTCAGATAGCAAGTGTCAATGTTGTAACTTCTACAGGAGGATATCTCTTGGTCAACCAAAAATTGATGAAATTGAAGTTGACAAATTTTTCATTATGACCCATATCTCATTTTTTCCTGGAAATATAAATAGTGGTAACTAATTCGAGGTAATGTTCTCTATACACATAACAAATATCTCAAATTTATCTTCCATTTCGCCAAAATCGGTAGGTAGGTATATTACTTGGTATATTACGAGGTATATTAATATGATCACGTTAAGTATCAGAGTAAATCTCTCTGCTTTGCAGTCTTTGGAGAGTGTTTGTCTGTCATTCTATTTGTGTTACATCCGACAGTTCTTTATCAATCGAGACGATTTTACTATGTGGTGGAGTCTGAGAAGAACGGTTTACTTGAGTTTTCGAAATGGTGAATCTCAACTTTAATTTTTTTGATTTTTGGTTGACCTATAGAGAGATTATATCCTGTAGAAATTACAAAGGATGAAAGTCAGTATCCAAGTATCCGATGTTTTTTTCCATTGGATGACTACTTTTTCCGTTATATTGATTTCTTAGATTTTGATACAGGGGAAATCGAAAAATTTACCATTCACACTGAGAAAACTCGGCCAAGTAAATTGTTTTCTTGAAAAAAAAGTCGATTGTGCCAAGAACATTTTCACCAACGGTAGGAAAATATGGTACTTGCAGTAGGCAAAACTATATTTCTGGAACGAAGTTTCTGCTGTAAGTGGTCAGAACACTTGTTGGTATCAACCAACTCGATATTTACTTAGAGTTCGCTAATTCTAAGTGAACACTAAACTAGTGCTAGGTTAACGAATACTCACTATTATTGAATTATTTTTCTGACATAAGATCACTTGCTCTGAGCGAACTCATCAATAAAGACAATCTATCAAGTCGATTGTTGCAGGTGACAGCTCACCTGTAGTTATAGATCTCTTTGCCGTTCGGACATCTCCGATATCATTCGAGTACCCACGCCCAACGCGATCACTGTCCAGTGTCCACGAGTCCACGGCGTCATTTCGATCTTAGCATTCGTGAAGTTAGTATACTTGCGTTCCCGCTAGTAACATCGAAATTCCAAGTAATGCAACTGCAAGTGCCCTTTCGAACAACTATTATATCATATTCGTATGAGAATTCTCTGTTTGTGTGCCGTGCTTTGTGGCCGTGCTCGTGCTCTGAGCTGTGGGGTGTTGAGTTCTTGATCTGTTCTCTTGAAGGAGATAATGAAATACAAAACTCTTCTAGAACAGTACATACTTGTTTCTTCATATGTACAAGTTTTTACTTGCCACTATTAAATATTCACTTAGGGTTAGTGATTTTTTTTCTCCGTGCAATAACTATCACCCTATATGAGATTTTGCGTTGAAATTTATGACTGAATCGAATGGTCTAGTCACTGTTTCGACAAAGAATTGCCTAATAGTCGTTTTTGAAATGTTGACCCATTCAACAATCAGAATAAGTAGGCCTTGAAAATCTGAATATTCCATATTTGTCCATATTTTCGAATAGAGCTCGTTAGGCACTTTTTTTTTGAAAATCAGTCGACGGTTCCAAATTAGGGGGGTTTTGCGGGTTGAAATCGCACACACTGTATAGATCATCCTCAGAATGATCTAGGAATATTCCCAGAATACCTCTACAGGGTATAACGCAAAGCGCATGGAAAATTTTACATAACTCTGTAGGTATGTTACAAAAGAGGCCATTATACAATCTTTTAGATCTTGATTTTGATTTCACTGCGCGGTGATGTGTTGTTCTATTATTTGTAGGTTTATTTATATAAGAGCCAATCGTTGGCAAATTGGAAAACATGAAACATTGTTGTGCATGATTATACCGGGTGGTCCACAACAACGAAACACGTCGATATTTATTTGGATGTCCCCCTATCGTTTGACGGGGAGTGTATAATCTCTGGTTTGACACAAAAAAATAATAAATACTTCAACGCTTTCTCGAGATAATTTTAATACGGAACAATTGGTAAAGAAGTTTATTCAATTGCATCAAGCCGTTCTCAAGTTATTTTAGTTGAAACAGAGATTATACACTCCCCTCGCTCGACACTCCCCATGTTTTTTAATTGTTGGTAAATGAATGTACGGAATTGATCTCGGAATTGATCATCAAATAGGTAATTATTTTTTGGATATTAAATGACCCAAAAGAAAAAAATGCCTAGTCTGACGAGCGTGCTGACGAAAATGTTGGTCCTCTACAACATGTCCATTCATTTGGGAAATTTTAGGATAGCGGATAGCCATTCTCTCATG